AATGCTTTTATTTTCTTTTGTTTTTATTTTTTTCTTTAGGTTATTTTTTTTTTTTCTTTTTTTTTTCATTTTTTCTTTCTTTCTTTTTTATTTTTCTAATTCTATTCTTTTCTTTTCTTTCTTTATTTCTATTTCTTTTTTATTTTCTATTTTTTTTATTTTTATCTTAGTCACGTTCTTTCTTTCTTTTTTTCTTATTTTTTTTTCTTCATGTCGACATGAAGTTTCTTTTATATTTCAATTTTTTTTCATTGTTTTCATTTCTTTTCTTTTCCTTTTTTCTTTTTTTCTTTTTTTTCTTTCTTCATTTGTATTTTTTCTTTCTCTTTTTTTTTTTTTTCTTTTCTTTTTTTTTTCTTTTTTTTCTTTTTTCATTTTCTTATTTTCTTTTTTTTTCTTTCTTTTTTCTGAATTTTTTTTCTTTCTTTCTTCTTTTCATTCTTTCTTTTTTCTTTTTTTTTCTTATTTTTTTTTTCTTTTTTTGTTTTTTTTATTATTTATTTTCTTTTTTCTTTTTTTTTCTTCTCTTTTTCGTTCTTTTTTTTTTTTTTTCCGCTTTTTTCTTTATTTTCTTTCTTTTCTTTCTTTCTTTTACATCTTTTTTTCTTTCTTTTTTTTTTATTTTTTTTTTTTTTTTCATTTTTCTTTCATTTCTAATTTCTTTTTTTTCTTGATTTCTTTCTTTCTTTTTCTTTCTAAAATTTTCTTTTCAATCCTAATTTCATATTTCAAACATATGTCTCTTCCTTTTTTTTTCTTTTTTTTCTTTCTTTCTTTCTTTTTTTCTTTCTTTTTTTGTTTTTGAAAATTTTTTTTTTTTTTCAAAAACAGAATTTTTCTTTCTTTTTTTTGAAATTTTTTCTTTTCTTTTTCTTTTTTTGTTATTTTTTTTCTTTTTTTTTTCTTTCTTTTTTTTATCTTTTCTTTTTCATAAATTTTTTTCTTTTTTTTTTTATTTTTAATTTTTTCTTTTCTTTGTTCTTCCATTTTTTTCTTTAAATATTCTTTTTTATTCTTTTTTATATATTCTTTTTTATTTTTTTCTTTTATTTCTTTTTTTTCTTTTTTTTTTCTTTTTTCTTTCTTTTTTCTTTCTTTTTTTTTTTTTTTTTTTTTTTATTTCTTTTAATTTTTCGTTTTTTTTCTTTTTTTTTTTTTTTTTTAAAATTTCTTTTTTTTTTTTTGAATTTTATTTATATTTTTTTTTTTTAAAATTTCTAAATATTTCTTTTTTTTTTTTTTCATTTAACTTTTCTTTTTTCTTTTTCTTTTTTAGGTACGTTTTTTTCTTTTTCTTTATTATTTTTTTTCTTTCTTTCTTTCTTTTTTTATATTTTGATTTTTTCTTTCTTTATTTTATTTTTTTTATTTTTTCTTTTTCTTTAAAATTTTCTTACTTTCTTTCTTTTCTTTTCTTTTCCTTTTTTTTTTTTTTTTTTTTTTTTTCTTTTTTTCATCACGTATTTTTCTTTTCATGTCGAGAAATTTATTTAAAATTTTTTCTATTTTTTCAGTTTCTTTTCTATTTTTTTTTTCTTTTTCTATTTTTCTTTCTTTTTTCATTTATTTTTTTTCATCCATTTTTATATTTTTGCTTTAATTACATTTATTTTCTCTTTTTTTTATTGCTTACATTTTTTTATTTTTATTTTCTGTTAAAACTCTTTTTTTCTGAAATTCTTTAAAATATAATGTTTTTCTTTAACGGAACTGTTAAATACACATCTCACATAAAAAAAAGAACAATGTTGGAAAATTTGAAAATAATAAAATAATTAGGAAACCAGCAGCGAGACGCATCAATGTACGAAATTTGTAAATGAAAATGAAATAAACATGTCTGCCAGATGTTCAAAACGTAAATGCATCCACTTAGATGACTATTCAACATAGTTTTTTTTGGATGAAATTCTTTGATTATTGAATTTAAAATATAGCGTCTTCTAATAGATATCGTCGTTTCGTTTAATACCGGAATGAAATTTATTAAATATTTTCCATATTTTGAAATTTGACATTTCAACTCATCTTTCTGGAAGAATCAAATTTGGATTGTGAATTTTAAATGTTTTTACGTGGGTGGGTGGAATCAGACATATTTTCCCCCATTTAATTTTTTTTTTTTTTGTTTCCGGAAAGAAAAAAAAAGGTTTACAAAAACGAAAGTTTTTTTACAGTGATGTTAATTTTTTTTCGAGATAGAAGTTACAGTAAGTGACATCGTTTTGGCGGATATGTAGAAAGGAAAACGGTTAATTCTAAACTTGAACGGGTTAAGATTGTAGTAATCGGTAAAATACCATCCGGATTTAACAAATGTTTTTTATTTTCAATTTTTTTTTTTAAGCATTTCAGTGATCTTTTGAAAAAAAAAAAAACCTGGGCATGGAGGTGATTTTTTAAAAAAGATAAAGATGAACTTTATTTTATCAAGTCAACAGAATTTTTTAAATTGACTTTGTATTTAAATTTTTGAAAATTGTAATCATTTAAAGCAAGTAAAGGAAGTTAGTTCCCTTGCCAGGAAGTGTGAGAAAAGAAACTGTTGGAGTTTTATTTATCCATTAAGTTTAACTATTAAAAACAGTCTTCATGGGATTTAGATGTCAATTTTTGTTAGCATGTTTAAATCCATATTAGTCGGGGAAATAATAAAAAAAATCTTTTCAAAGTATTTGTAAAAAAAATTCAGAGTTTTGACTGAAGACGAGATACCAAGTCAAAACCGATTAAATTACAGATCCTTTTTTGGATTTTGTCGAAAGAATTTCAAGATGAACAGCAGTATTCAATGCCAAACCAGATCTTCAATAGTATTCAATGCACGGACGAATGGTAGATTTGTAGATATTTAAGATGAAAATGATGAAAAAAAAAACTTTCTTTAAAATACAGAGAACCAACTTTCCTTGCAGTAGATGCAGCTATTTGATTCAATGTTCATTGTTCTCTTTTGAACTTTGAGTTGAAAATGTGACAAGAAATGCATTGAGACGCTCAAACTGAGTCGAGGATTTAATCAATGCAGATGGATTGCGGATTAGAAGATTTTCATCTTATGGTTTAATTTTAAATTTTTAAAAAAACATTAAAATTTACTCTGATGCTGAATTTTATTTATATATATAGTCATTTTTGAGATAGACTGTTTTTCTTAAATCTCATTATTTGTGAATAAGACATCTGATTATTTCAAGAAATGATAAAACCTGACTGATTTGATTTCAGTCAGAATCTTTCTCTATTCCACAGTCGCAAACTTGATTTTAATATTTTTTATAAATATATATGTACATATAATTTATATATAAAAATACATATATATTTATATATATTTTTATATATATATATATATATATATATATAAAAATATATTTATATATATATATATTATTAGATTTATATATATAAAAAATTATATATAGGAATAATATTTACCAAATGAGATTAGAGAGATTTTTTTAGAAATATAGTTTTTGTGAATTTGTGATCATGATTTTTAAGGATTTTCTGTAGAAATTTGTGAATTTTCTTCAACTGATATTTCAGTAAAATTTCTTTTTTTAAAATTAATTTTCACTGAAATATTTTGGAGTGACGAAATTGGAAAATTTTTCCTTATTTAATAAAGTGAAAAAAAAAAAGACAGCGATTGATGGGAACTCTATCAGAAGACTAAAATTAGCAGAAATGTTTAAATAATTTTTTTTTTTGTTTTTAAAATGGAGGCGAAAAATGACACCTTTTATCAATAATTTTTTTTTATAATAAATGACATATTGAAACATTATCAAATGTGTTCGAATAGATAGATAGATAGATAGATGGATAGATAGATAGCAGTGTATCGACATAGACACCTTGTCGAATATGTTCCCATAAAGAAATAGATAGATATATAGCAGTGTATCGACTTACAGGTTTTGCCGCCATTTACACCCGGTATTGTAACCACATTTTAATGGTCCGATCCCCAGGATCTTAAAACAAAACTTTTTAACCACAGGGGCTTTTCTGCACTGGTCAAAAAATCGCTGGCCATTTGGCCGTTGGTCGATTTTTAATGATCCACAAATTGCAATGCTGAAAAAAGTGATGTTTTGATCTCAAAGCAGTGGGAGAAAGGTCGTAGTCTCGCAAAAATAATCCATGTCCATGCTGATTCTAAGCAGGTGGCATCAATCTCTATAGTGACACCGGGCCTTGTCGAAACTTCTGGGGGAGGGACGAGTGGTTTGAACTTTTGGAATCAGAAAATTTTTTGGCAACTTTAACGTAGAAAAAGAGGCATACGAAACCGGTTTCAAAACAAAATTATATAGATAGATCGAAGAAAAGTTATGTGACATTGTGATTATACACTTGAGCGATCATTTTTTTAATTCCATGGTCGACTAGGCAGAAGATTTTAAAAATAGTAGTAAATTTGTTTTTTTTATTGATAGACTGGATGCCAACCATGGCTATAGGATCCAGTCTTTCCTGCTATTCAGCCTATAGCTGCGAA